CTTCCGCTGTCGTAACAGTATTTCCAACAATTTAATTAAGTCATTAATTAAGTCCTCGTTTTTTGACTTATGATTTAACTTCTCTCTAGCACGGTATATGTTACCTGATGAAGTGCGTCTGCCAAAAAAGCTTTTTATATGGACGCGAGTATTAACTTACATTTATTCTACACTTTGATGGAAATATCGTTGGCTTACTGTCTATTTCATAAAACAATATGGTCTGATCGTATACTCAACCTTCTGTAAAGTTTCTGTTACTTAAAATACTATTCTTAATGAACTCATAGTAGTTTTCTTCTTTTCTCCATATGATAATAATCTTGAGGCCTGCTTTTAGAAAATAACTTTTCTATTCAAATAAATCTTATCATTCCAAGTTTTATACTAATGTTCTGCTCTCTCCAACAGTTAATAATACCAACGTCAGCAATGTTTTCTAAGAATATTATAAACATTAAATATTATATAAATGAATTTGTAGTTTTGTAATTTTCTTACTTTTAGTAGCCGTGTTTAACTTCTGAAATTCGGCTTCATTGAAATCGCACACAGTTTCACAGAAATAACTGTTATAACATATGAATTTATGTGATAACATAAAATATTAATTTAGTGCCAAACACTTCAGCAAGACTCGATGGTTTAAAAGCTTAAGTTAGAATTTTAGAATACAAAGAATGTGAGAATGAGGTGATTTGACTCGAAGTTATAATTTTGTGGACGTATCAGAGTATTCGAGTAGAATATGATTTAAATAGCCAAAATAGATGCATTATTCAATCTAATATATTACCATGAAGAAATCATAGAAAATAACAACAAACACACAAAAATCATTACAGAACTTGTTTTGATCGACCATTTACATGTTTTTCTAAATTTTCTACTAACTTCTGTGATGGATTTATTATTATATGTTTATTATAATATGGATGTTTGCTTGAATTAAATTTATATTTACAAGTGTACATAACTTATACTGTTAAATATATATTGCGAAACTCTCGCCTATTCTCTAAAGTTGTAGAAGATTCTCGAATGTGTACGTAAACGCTTGTGTAGCTATGTATTGTTACATAATCTGCATTTTCTAGAAACTCTCCACACGCCTATAAATATAACCAACGCGCCGCGCCAAAAAAGAGTATTTATTATTAGTTTGCCATAGTCAGTGTGTTATAAACTTCGGAAGCTATAACTGTGATTGTTATAAC